ACCACAGGTACAAAGCCTTTGTTTTATAAATAAGGAATTAGGGGCTTGGAATGATGTAGTGATTTTTCCAAAGTCTTGAAGCTAGTTAGTGGCAGGCCTGAGATGAGTGAGTAGGTCCATTTTCAACTTTTCCCTGCTGCCTCTGTATCATTTAGGCAGAAGTGCTTTAAATGTAAGGGAAAAAATATATACTTTTAAATAAAACATTTTAAATGATTCTTTTGGGATTTTAATTTGCAGTGTTGTTTACCCAAGTATAATGCATCTTTCTTTTATCTCTGCATAATTGTCCACTCAATAGGTGAAATATTTGATCTAATCATTTCCTGAGATATTTAGCAATCTTCTTTTATTATAAATGTTTTATCTAATTTTCATATAGTTTTTTTATATTTTATAAAAATTAGTATGTACACACACTCGTCTCTGTCTTCTCTTATTAAACATTATTTTTGTGAGAGTCATATTGTTAATAATTGTAGATTGTTCATTCTCTTTGCTCTATTCCATTACATAAATATATCATAATGTATTCATTCTGCTGATGGTTTTTGTGTTAATTTCAGTTTGGAACTGTTATAAATAGTTGTGCCATGAGCATTCTGGTTTTCGTTCAGTGGGCATAAATAGTCATTTTTATTGGGCATACACCTAGAAGTGGAATTACTTGATCAGAGTATATGCATACTTTCAGTTTTAATAGCTACCATGAAAAGCTGTTTTGCCAGTTTATAATCCATCAGTAGTAAGATCCTTTACTACACTTGCAATTTTTTGTGTTTCATTTTAACCATTTCAATGGATATAGTTGCATGGAGTAGTGGTTTTGTGTTACTGTCACACTAATGTGCTAAAGCACCCTTCCATGAGTTTATTGGTCATTTTGTGAAGTGCCTGTTGAGTCTTTGTCTCTTTTTCTTTTTCTGCCCCTCCCTCCTTCCCTTTCTCCCCCCCTCCCTCCCCCCCCCCCCTTTTTTTTTCCATTTGCTAGGGACCAAACCTAGGGCCTCGTGCATTCTAAGTAAGTGTGCTACCACTTACATTCTTGATTCACTTGGTTTATTCACCAGTCCTCTCATGTCGATGTCTGTTCAATCTTTTTTGGTCATGTATCTCAATTCTGTAATAGATTCCTCAAAAGATGCTCAAGGGTACAGTATTATCATATTCATGATAAAATCATATTATCATAATCATTTGATTATATATAGAATCCATGACACAGATTTTTTTTTAGTACCTTAACTATGTTAGTCTGTTGTCTTCTGGCAAAGATCATTGTCAAATCTGACAAGCTGATTTTGTTTTCCTTACTGTGACTTAGTCTTTTAAAAAATCCTGGGTTTTGAAATGATCTTTTTTTTTTTTTCTTTTCTTTTTTGAAGTAGGTCAGTTTTCCTAAGTACACAAGAGTACCCTTTTAATATGTAGTTTCACTGGGCCCCGCGGCACACTATAATCCTAGCTACTCAGGAGGCTGAAGTGGGAGCATCACAAGTTTGAGGCCAGCCTTAATCTTCAGTATGCACACACATATACATTCAGTCAATCAATATGTAGTTTCAAAGGAGAGGGTTTTTTGTTTTTTGTGTCTTTTTTTTTGGTGGAGGGGTTGGGGGGACATTTGTGTATGTATGGCAGGGGTTGGTTGTTTTTGCAATGCTGGGGATTGAACCCAGGGTAATGAGATGAGCATGTGCTCTACCACTGAACTACATCTCAAGCCCCCTCTTATTTTTCTTATAAGAGACAGGGTTTTGCTATGTTGTCCAGGCTTGTCTCAAGTTCCTGAAATCAAGCCATCAATCCTGCCTTAGCCTCCTGAGTAACTGGAACCACAGGTGTGTGCCACCAGGTCCAGCTAGAAGAATTTTTTTGGGTATTTGTTCTGTATTATTGCTTTTGTTTCTTTCTTCAGGATCTGCCAGTATAGATGTGTCTTTTTAATCTTCTTTGTGTCTATAACTTTTTTTAAAAATTCACTTTATCTGTTTTTTAAGTTGACAGTTTTATTGAGATAATTTGTGTAAAATTAACCCTTCAAAAACATACAATTCAGGCCAGGCACAATGGCACATGCCTATAATCCCAGCAGCTCTGGAGTCTGAGGCAGGAGGATTGTGAGTTCAAAGCTAGCCTTGGCAACTTAGCAAGGCCCTAAGCAACTCAGTAAGACCTTGTCTCTAAATTTGAAAATACACACACAAAAAAAGTTACGATTCAGTGTTCTTCATGAATATTTCTGTGCGTATACTGTCACCAGTCTCTTTTGTTGTTATTGTTACTGGGAATGAACCCAGGGGCACTTAACCCCTGAGCCACATACTCATTCCTTTTTTATTTTTTAAGACAGGGCCTTGCTAAGTTGCTGAGGCTGCTTTCGAACTTGGCATTTCTCCTGCCTCCACCTTCCAAGTCACTGGGATTGAATGTTTTAAACATTTTCAGAAATTTTAGAAAGTTCAGAAAGAACCCATTATACCATTAGCTACTATTCATTTCCCTTTTCACAGCTCCTAGAAACCACTAATCTATTTCTGTCTCTGGATTTGCCTGTTATATGGACAGTTTATGGACATCTCATGAGTCATATAATATGTGCACTGATTTATTTAACTTTACATAATGTTCTCAAGGGTTATCCATGTTTTAGCATATGTCAATACTTCATTCCTTTTATGGTCAAATAATGTCCCATTGAATAGATTTACTATGTTTTGTTCATCTGTTAATCAGTTAATGAACATTTGGAGTTTCTACTTTTCAGCTATTATGAGTAAGGTTACTATGAACATTCATGTTCAAATTTTCTGTGTGCACACGTTTTCATTTCTTTGGGGTATATACCTAGGGGTAGAATTATCAGGTCATTTGGTAACTCTAATTAGTATTTGTGGAATTGGAAAACTGTTTTCAAACTGGCTACACCATTTTACCTTCCTACCAGCAAGGTATGAGGGTTCTGATTTCTTGGTGATCATGGTATCTTCCCTGACAGGTAAGAAATAGAGTTCTGACTTCTCAGATCTTCAGCCACACATATTGTCTGTCTCTTTCATTCTAGTGATACTAGTGGTATAAAGTGATATCTCATTGTGATGTTGATTTGCATTCAGCTCATGACTAATAATTTTGAGCATTTTTTTCTGTCCTTAATTGGTCATTATTAGAATTCTGGATATATCATTTATAAAATACATGATTTGCAAATATTTTCTTTTTTTGGTACCGGCGATTGAACCCAAGGGCACTCAACCACCAAGCCATATCCCCAGCCCGGTTTTTGTATTTTATTTAGAAACAGGGTCTCGCTAAGTTGCTTAGCACCTCACTTTTTGCTGATGTTGGTTTTGAATTCGCAGTCCTCCTGCCTCAGCCTCTCAAGCTGCTGGGATTACAGGCGTGCACCACTGCAGCTGGTGCAAATATTTTTTTCTGCTATGTAAATTGTTCTTTTACTTTTTTGATGATGTCATTTAAAACATAGAAGTTTTTTTGTTTGTTGGTTGGTTTTGTTTTGTTTTGTTTTGTTACTAGGGATTGAACTCAAGAGGTGCTTTATCACACATCCCCAATTCTTTTTATTTTTTAAGACAGTAACTCACTAAGTTGTTTAGAGCCTTGCTAAGTTGCTCAGGCTGGTCTTGAACTTGTAATCCTCTTGCTTCCGCATCCCAAGTTATTGGGATAAGGAATGCACCACTGTGCCTGGGTAATTTTCATATAGAAGTTTATCTAATTTTTATTTATTTATTTTTTTTCACTTGAGCTTTTTGTTTCATATATAAGAAACTATTGCTGAGTCCAAGGCCATGCAGATTTACTTCTATGGTTTCTTACAAGAGTTGTATAGTTTTAGTATTTCCACTTAGATCTGTGATGCATTTATTTGTGTTCACCTATGTTCATAAACATAGGTGAGAGATGAGGAGTACAACTTCATTTTTTTTTTGCATGTATATATCCAGTTGTCCCACCACCATTTGTTGAAAAGACTTTTTCTTTAATTATCTTTATATCACAGTAACTATGTATGGAATTAGACCAAGATCCTTTTCTGTTACTTATTACCTATTAGTAAAATAAATTTTTCTATAATCTTAAGACAAAGAGAATGAGCAAGAATAGGTTTCCTAGCTTCATGGTCTAGGTTAAATCTTTCTCTTCTGTGGTTTTTGTAAAGTGGAAATACAAATACATCTTGTCTGAGATGTACATATTCTGTTCTTCTGCACCACTTTTATCTGAACCTTCTCTTTTCCTTTGTCCGTTGTCCTCTATTTTACAACTTGGATTCTATTCCCAGCCATTTCTCTTTATTGGGACTTTATCGTGGAAGGGAGCATTGATTTAATTTTGAGAGCTTATAGGACCCAGATTCGGTATTGCATTGCAATCTGGGGCATTTTTTAATAAATGTGATCTTAGTTTCTACTGCTATTCTCAGACTGGCCCACTGTGCTGTCCAGTGAGCACCTGTTGACTGTGATGTTCTTCTGTACTTGAGCTGTCAGGACTGTTCCCACACAGATACAGATACTGTGTGGATCTTGTGGTTGTCAGATGTTTGTTAACTCCTACTTATGCTTGGAGGTTTGTCTCCTGATTTTACCGTGAACATTGTGAATTTTTGGTTTGCCATGCTCATTGTTGTAACGGGTTTTATGGGGAGATTTAGAAGAGATTCAAAATTACACTGCCACTGCTACCATTTTCCTGGAATTATTTGACTAACAAATGATTTGAAGCACATTCCATTCCTTTTTAAAACCAATGTGGCATCTACAAATTAAAAGAGAAAAATGTGATTCAGTAGTTGATTCTTAGTTTAATGCCAAGTAATTCTGTAATGAATTACAAAAACTTTTTCTACTGTATTAAATATCATAAAATAGTATACCTGTTGAATATAAGCCATATTTTTTTCCAGTGATCAGTAGTTTAATGATTTGTGAGTTGTCATGTTTTTACTGTACTAAGAATTAACTTTTCCCTTTCAGAATAACAAGCCTTTATACTCATTTGAAGATAATTCAGACTACGTTTATGATGTTATGTGGTCACCCACCCACCCAGCCCTGTTTGCCTGTGTTGATGGCATGGGGAGATTGGATTTGTGGAATCTCAATAATGATACAGAGGTGAGCAGGAAAATAACAAAAATTGCACTGAAAAACAGAAAATTGGAGATTTATTCAATAATTTGTGAAATTCCTTTTATCCCAAAGAAATGTAGGACTCCGATTGTGGCTTCATCACAAAGAAACCAAATAAGCTTTGTACCCTAAATACAAACAGCATGCTGTGCAGAACTGAAGGGAGAAATAATGTTGCCATGAGCACTGGGGCATTTCCTTTAACTTATGAAAAGCAGTATCTTATCTCTAATGTCCTGGCAAAGTCTCGTTCAAAAGGCAGCTGGGATATTTTCCATTCATAAGCTGGAAAATAGTTTCAGACTACTGAAGTAATGTTAACCTTAATCCTGAATTTCTGAATTATCCTTTTAGATGTGATAGAATTATGATTCATAAATATAAGTCTTAGCCTGCCTTGTATGAATGAAGGAGAAATGTATTTTGATGATTTTTTCTGTGAAGGATTGAAGTCAGTTCCTGTACTATAAAATGAATATAGAAACCATCAGATTTCCTAATTGCTATACTCAAATAACATTAGCAGTGAAATTTAATTGCAGCTATCACTTATTTTTAGTCATGTGTTTTTACCAGCAGAGAGGCTAAAATGTTCTTAAGATTTCTGTGTTGCTGTTAGTTGGTAGAAGTAATATTAGCAGTTCCCATGAGTAATGGTTGTTGAGGAGAAACTCACTTGGTGCCTTTTCTCACATCTCTTCATATTTTTGGTGGCATCTTTCCAAATCCCTGAAGTCAAATGGGTGGTTGTGCAGGACAAGGAAGTTATATATTGGAAATGTAAGAATTTTAACATTGTCATCTACAGACTTAGTAATTTTGGGAGGTAGGAAAAGGTGTTAAGTAAGCCTTGCTGAATGATTAGAATTTATTTTACCTTTTACCTAGGTAGGTATTAGGTACTAACTTTATTTTCTTAGCTTTGATTTTGGTACCAGAGATTTGTGATTATAATTAAGTGTGGGTGTTTCCCATAATAGTTAAAGAATACACCAAAATAGGTTTCTTATACTGTGGATGTAGCTCAGTGGTAGAGTGTGCTTGTCTAGCATGTGTGAGGCCCTGGGATTGATCCTTAGCACCACAAAAAAAAAAAAAAGAAAGAAAAAAGAAAAGAAAAGAAGTTTCTTTATAACAATTTTGAGCTAATCATCTGGGGAAGACTGGTGTCAATTAAAGGATTATTTTGGCCACATTTCAAAACTTTAAATTTGCAGGGGGGGGGGGGGGGGCTTTTTAGTCTGAATTTATTTGCTTCATGTGTTTTCCTCAGCATAGGAGATACACAATCAGACCCAAAAGGCTGGTACTGCTGTATTAGTGCCATCCATCATCATGCCTTCATTCTGAGTCTGTGCAAATTAAGGGGTTTTGGAAAGACTCATGGTGCACCTTCAGTGTGAACTATTTTTTGGAACTGAGGATCAAACATAAGTTTCAGAGATCCAAGCTACAAAAGTAATTCCTGTCTGTAAAACTGAACCATGATCTGTTTATGAGGGCTTTTGAAATGTTTTCCTCTTAAATGGGATTTGACCCTGTGTTTTCAAATAGCTTGGCTACTTAAGTTAAAACAACAAAGAGTCCTTTATTAAAGAAAAGTTATTTCAAAATGGTATATCCAGTCATGTGAGAATTTCTTATAAAGGACTTATTTTCCCAAACCATGTTCAAGGATTGACTATAATGTCATTCATAATATATTGCTGAGTAGGAAGAAAGTTGGGAAAATTCTCTATCCATTTTCATCTATTTTTTTTAAACAGATTGGAAGAGGAAATACTGTTTTACATGTTTATAGAAATCTTGATGAAACTTTTAACACTGCACTATATTTTAAATGACTTTAGGTACCAACTGCCAGCATTTCTGTGGAGGGTAATCCTGCTCTTAATCGTGTAAGATGGACCCATTCTGGAAGAGAGATTGCCGTGGGTGATTCTGAAGGACAGATTGTTATATATGATGTGGGAGAGGTATGGGGCTTACTGTCTATAATTTTGATACATCTATTTAGTGACATTGTAGTGAAGGTATCTTTGTGGATCCTGAATTGTATAAACCATATGCTTGTATACTTCGTACTACAAAAGAAATTTTTGAGATTTTCTTTCTAAACTGGATGTTCTGTGTCCGTGGGCAGATTTTGAGACTAATATAGTATGATGGAAGTACTTTGTTTCTTTAAGAATACGTTACTGGAAATCATAAATTCTTCAGGCAGAAAAAGAAATGTGGAGTTATAGATGGACACTGGAATTTTAAAGAACTGATACTAAGTCTTTTTTTATTATTATTATTCATACATTTGTTTGGGCCAGATAGTAGAAACCAAAAGTAGTATTTTTTGAGAATTATCTGATGACTGAAATGTGAATCTGGATCCTTGATCCATTATAACTGAATTCAATAAGATGAGATGCAGCTCCCTCATCTTTAGTGCTCTGATGGGCTATATGGTAATGCCCAGGATTGATTCCCTCCATTTTAGCCCTGGCTAGTAACTTTGTCATTTTTCTGTTGCTGTTTTATGATTCCTCATCCTGACTGAAAATCCCATGGCCTCTAGCAATTGAATCTGAAGGGAAGTAGATTGAATCATTTAGAACAGCCAGTTGATCTGCACAGATGGAAATGTTCTATGTCTGTACTAATATGGTAGCTATTAGCCACACATGGCTATTGAATAATTAAAATGTGGCAGTACAACTGAAGAACTGAATTTTAAGTTTTATTTAGCTTTAAATATAGTTACATTGGCTAGTAACTCCCCTACTGGATAGTGTAGATTTAGAAGAAGGAACATCCATTTACCACAGAGTGGCTTATGTCCTATCCTGATAGACTCGGTGATATTATTTTGGCAATTATCAAAAATTTTTATCACCCAACTGCCTCTGTGAGGCAAAAGAACTGCAGTCTCTTTTTCTTTTATTATCTTGTTACAATGCTAAATGTGAAATAGTAGCATAGCTTTTTGTGAGGGAATCATGAAAGGTTATCTTCAGATGAAAATAATGCTTCAAAACTATTTCTAACTAGGAATGAGATGAGAATGAACTAAAAAATTTTTAACGGAATTCCCACCAGCAAAATCCATGAGACGGTACACAGGAGTAAAATTTACAAAGCATCATTGTTATTCTCTCTTGCACTGATGATGATAATAGCAAAGTCATTTCTGAGGCTGTCACAACATACTTGACAAACACCATCTTTTGTTTTGAAATGTTGTAAATCATTGTTATAGTCCCTGTAATTATGGAAAGGCCATTTAGGTCAATTATTACTTTTTAGTGGAAAAAATTATTTGAAAACAAGCTGAATAATAGCAGGTAAAATGATCTTTTATTTCAGTGTAACACAAAACATTGTCTTTCTTTTAACAGCAGATTGCCGTTCCCCGCAATGATGAATGGGCACGATTCGGCCGAACACTCGCAGAAATTAATGCAAACCGAGCTGATGCAGAAGAGGAAGCAGCTACCCGAATACCTGCTTAGTTCCTAAAAAGAGGAGTATAGCCTTTAGTGGACTGGGGGAAGGCTCTACAGTAGATCCTAAGACTATTTGCATGCTTTTGTCTAAATGATAATTAAAGAGAAATTTCATGGATTAAACTGTTGATTTAATGCAGCAAGCAAATCTTACAGTGCCCCTTTTATATTAACATGCATTTTTTTATTTGTCATTTTTAATACAGCTGACTGACTTTACAGAACACAGGGATATATTTAATACTATTCTTTTGAATTCTTTTCGATTTATAACACTATATACAGTTATTTCTAAAGCACAGATTAAATAAGTTCTGCATATTTTAAATAATCACAATTCCCTGTTAAACTTGTAATGTTCTCACTAGTCATAATATAAACATTGTTTCTTCTTAGTTGCAGCATGCATACACCTATCCAAGTTGCATTCTAACATCCTTTCTCTTTATAGTTCATGTGGTAGTTACCTATAAATAAAAGCAAATATGTGCTAACTTTTCATTTTCACTCCTTGCAATTTTAATTTTTCCATCACTTTGTAGTCTTTAATATATACATATATATTCTTTAATCCCCTGCTGTGTATGTATATTTATATACATATATATATATGTATATAAATATGTATATAAATATACATACACACACACACACATCTCTTAATCCTGTAAAGCTTTGTGCCTTAAATATGCCATACAGGACATTATAGATCTCCCTGTGCATTAAGAATGGATGTCTGTATAATCTGTCAGTGAAAAATTTCCCCTAGTTTAACTTTTGTGCTGTTCTTTCTATCTATATTTACTTTAAAGAATAAATGGAGTAGCTGGAGTTGTGGCTCAGTGTGAGGCCCTGGGTTCAATCTTAATACCACATATAAATAAACAAAACAGAAAAAAAGTCCATTAACAACTAAAAAATATTTTTTAAGAAAAGAATAAATGGAAATCTCTTATTATTTTCACTGATTGAGACTACTATGATTGTGACCTCTCAGAGTAAAGCCTCCTTTGAGAGAAACTGATTTCATGGTTACAATAAAGATGAAGAAAAGTGCTCAAATGACCCATACTTTGACACTGAATCAACTCGATACCTTCAGATCTGTTTCCACACTTTCTCTACAAGTGTGAAAGGTAGGTGACAAATATCTAAGAACTAGTATTGAAATCAACTTGTTTCAGGACTAGAGGAAAGGCCTATGATCTGATCTTGATTTTTTTATCCACTTTACATTGTCCATTCCCTTGATCCTCCTTTGTTCTTTTAAAGTTTAACTTTTATTCAACAGGATTTGAACTAGGAAGGAAGATTAGTAATTGGAATTTGAGCATTTTTAATAATTCTAACAAAGGCTACTTGGGATAGAATTCTAAATAATAACAAAACTTCCTGTGGATTTTCTGTAGTGTAAGGAATTATTGACCAGGAATATTAGACTCAGACTCTAGTTCTAGCTCTGGCACCTATGACAAGTATGATTTTAGCCATAAAATCCGTGTTTTCATTCTTTTCTAAGTTAATTAAGTTTGAATTAGATGATATCTGAATTTCTTTCTGTCTTTAAAATTATTAATTGAAATTATGTCAAACAATTTCCCACTTTTATATATTCAGTTTTCATAAATTGACCCCCCACAATTGTCCATTATGTACCAAAGATAACAACTGAAGTTATCTCATGGTGACAGAGTCAGAAGCTCATTTTCAGCAGGGTCATATTGTCTTTGTATAGAAAAATTCATGTATTCACTATAATAGTAATATTTTTACCCTCAATTTGTAAAAATGCCTAGAAAGGGGGAACACATAAATGTTAAAATACAGTGTTGACTAAGGGTAGAACTCAAGAGATGTAGCAAATCAGATACTCACCAGACTCAAGTTGTGTTCAATTGTAAAAGAAAATAAAATTGGTAAGTATTTGTAAAATACTCATCACCGAGGAGTTTTTTCTTTGGGAGAATAATTTCTCTCCCCCGCTCCCAAAATCTTAATGTAGACCTTTGCCTATTCAATTTTAGTATACCTTTCTAGGAAAACATGAACTTATGTAAGGAATTATATTTACAGTTGACTATATAATAGCAGAAGAGAAAGTACTGAAACTGTCATTGACGTAGAATTTTCTGATAAGATGTTGATTAGCTCTTACCCAAGAGCTAATTATAGCTCTTAATACTTTTAGAAATGAAATACAATTTTGAAAAACTAGTTACAGAAATTACTATCAGGTTTCCTTTTTTTTTTTTTTTTTTTTCTAAGCAGGAAACAAGTTGTAGCTTTCTGGCTAATTTTTGTTGTTTGGTTTTCCTGTTTGGAATGGGAAGTTAAAATATTATTACCCTTGGGTAGCATTTAAGCCAAATAGTCATTGATAGAAGCTTTCTTCCTCCTTAAAACTACAGTTCCCTACAAAGTTTGGAAAAATGTATTCATATAAAATGTGGTTGCAATAATGCTGAGATACTGCATTGTGAATGAATGAATAACTTGAAGTGTAGAATCAGGAACTAAAGGAATGTAGTACTAGGGATGATTGATCCTAGTCTTTCAATGTTTTAAGAACATTGATTTATTCTGTTCTGTACTAGTACAGATAGACTATAACCTCCATCAGTTGAACCATGTGGAAAGGAAGGCCTTAATGAAAATCTACTATAAAATATATCAGTCTTCCTCTTTCTGTTGTGCAGTGCCTTTTAAATGTCTTTTTTACAACCCCAGTATTTCAACATTGACATTGTAATTCCCCAAATAGAAAAGGCTGCATTAATCAGATTTATGTTAGACTGGAGCTCCAGTTACAACTCTAGCTGCTCATTGGTATCCACGGTGATGGTATCATGCTTCAATATTGGGCACAAGTCTAAATTAAAAAGTCAATGGCTGCTGGGCATGGTGGCACACTCCTGTAATCCCAGAGGCTCAGGAGACTGAGATAAGAGGATCCTGAGTTCAAAGCCAGCCTCAGCAAAAGTGAGACACTAAGCAACTTGGTGAGACCCTGTCTCTAAATAAAATACAAAATAGGGCTGGGGGTATGGCTCAGTGGATGTGTGTCCCTGAGTTCAAGCCCCAATACCAGAAAAAAAGAACAAGAAGTCAATGGCTTTTTTTTTTTTTTTTTAAGTTGTAGATGAACACAATGTTTTATTTTTTTATGTGGTGCTCATACATGCTAGGCAAGTGTTCTACTACCCAGCCACAACCACAGCCCTAGCTTTGCTTCTCTTGATCATTTGGAGTATCAAAAAATTTTTGATACTACATAACAAGAAAGGAGTTCTTTCTAGCTGTCATCTTGCTAATAGCTAGGCAAGTAGGGAGACCTTATAGGTTTGGAGAAAATACTCCCAGGACTGGAGTAGTGGCTCAGTGGTATTGTGCTTGCCTAGCACATGTGAGTTGTGAGGCACTAGGTTTGATCCTCAACACTGCATAAAAACAAAGGTTTAAAAAAAAATATTCCCAAGTAGAATTGTATGTTTGACTCAAAGATTTAGAAAGATGCCCCAAAAGCAGTATAGGAAGAACATCCATGTTTAGTATTTATTTTCAAGTGGAAAATTACAGTTAGGAACATTCCTTTAATCTATGTCTTTAGTCTTATTGCCCTGAAGTGTTATTAATTTACTTGTACTGTACTATATTTTAAAGTCCTTTCATATATAGGAAACATGCAGTTGATTTTAGAAAAAGATCTTTACAGTCCTAACCAGAATGCCAACTGCAAGACTTGGAATAGTCATCACATTGTAATACTTTTCATAATAGACCAGTGCTCTCCAGACCTTTGTGTTGGACTTTAGGTGTTTAGATTTTCTTTCTGCCTGCCATGTTCACAATTCCCCAACTTCTCAAAGTTCGAATGGATGTCAGGTATTTCGGTTTTCAGTATGTAGCTTCTAGCCACAGATAGTTTCAACATAGCCAATCAGCAATCTTTTACAAACTTTTATAAAATTATGGTATTTTGTGTTGTTAGTTTCATAGCAGGAATCTCAGTTTGGGCTTCTTAATATTCCATTACCAGTTCCCAGTCAGAGGATGGAACAGCTTGCACTCAGGTAAGCTTTTTGAAAGGTCTCTTTCACTTTGTGAGGTCACTTATTCAGGTCTCTGGTAATGTATTATCCTGCCTCTCTCATAATGTACTTTATTTGCTCAGAAGGCTGTGGGGCAGTGATTGTATGGGGTATAGAATACATCTGCATTGCATGGAACATGCAGAGACCTGACACTGTGACTTCAGAAATCAGGTATACTACCAGTAAGACCTTGATAGGAAGTAATTTTATCTTTTGTGAATTTTTGTACTAGATTTTTTTAAGTACTTTTTTTTTCTGAGCAAAATAACAGACATGCTTTAGAACAAAATTTCTTACACTTAAGGGTGGCCTGGTATATGAGAAAGAATACTGGACTCAAAACAACCAAGTTTTATTCCTGATTTCCCCCATTACCAATAGTGTAACCTGGAACACAGATCAGTATTGTTAAATGAAAATATTTGCTTTCTGTGACAATAAGAGAATGTTTATGTGGAAACTTTGTAGATTATAAAGGACTATGCAAGGATTTTTTTTCCTTTGTGTTTTTTTTTTTTAAGAATAAGAATGGAGGGGCTGGGGTTGTGGCTCAGTGGTAGCATGCTCGCCTAGCATGCATGAGGCACTGGGTTTAATTCTCAACACCATATAAATGTAAAATAAAGATATTGTGTCTATATAAAACTAAAAAAAATAAATATTAAAAAAAAAGAATGGAGAGGGGCATTCTGTAAAACTTTTGTGTAGTACAACAGACCTCATCTTCAAAGGATTAAAGTGAATTGGTGTTGATTAAACTATTTTTAAAGAAATCTCATCACATTTAAACCCTATGAACTAGGCAAGGCACATGACTGTAATCCCAGTTTTTCAGGAGACTGCAGGAGGATTGCACGCTCAAGGTTAGACTGGTCAATTGAGTGAGACCCTGTCGATAGATAGATAGATAGATAGATAGATAGATAAAAGGGCTGGGGATATAACTCAGTGAAAGAGTAGCAGCCCGAGTTCAATCACCAGTCTCTCCACCCCCAAAAAATACATGTGCACACACACCCTAAGAAACTTAAGATATTTAGGAATAGCAGTGAACAGAGGGTAAAATATTAATTGTCATAATCCCCCTTTTTACATTCTATGATAAAGTTACAAGTTATGATAAATGGAACACAATGATCCATTTTGAATTTTCAGTCTTTACCAGGTGTTGTTCTTAGTTATATACAGAACACAGATTATCTGGAGCCTTCGAAAAGAGGAAGTGGACCCTATTTTTGAATCAGCAAGTTAAACAAACTTGCTTCTAGACTGCTACATGGTGGCAGAACCTCCATCAGTCACTTCCTTAAAAATCTGGGAAAGAACAATTACTTGTTCAAATTTATACAGTACCCCTCCAATATTCCTAGGGTTAGTCCCCTTGGAAATAACACATGCTCACCATGGG